GATATTCGTTTATATGAAAAACACAACCGCTGGCTGTCAGGACAGTTTCTTATGTAAGAACTAAAGCTTGGGCAAGGGAAGAGATGCACAGGTGGAAAATCAGTGCATCTCACAGGCTATGCTAAGTATGTAATCTTTTTCTAATTAATACCTACTCTTACTGATACTCTTACTAATTCTTCATGTATTACTGGCTTCTTGCTAATTCATCATCATAAATAGCAATATTCATTAAGAAAGGAAGAAGGTTGGTAGTGATTTTTCTTTTCAAAGCTTAATTCTGTTCCCATAAAACAGCATCACAGGCTCCATACTTCTGTGCCTCGGCAATTCCAATTGCCAATAAAGTCAGCTACAAAAAACAAATACTTTTAGAATAATCAGTTCTGGCAAATTCAATGGGAATTCAAATGTCCTGCTGGGCCCTTTCATTTGCTGTAGTAATTCTGCAGGCAGACCTTCATTACTTCTGTTGACAAGGCATGAGCCAAAAGCAAATTCAAATTGCTCCCTTTTCCAGAGCTTTACTGCTTTGGAATGCTAAAATATAAACCCAAAAGTTAGTCAGATTCTGTTCTTAATTCACTCAAAAAGCCCATCCAGCCAAGGAGGTGTCATTTCTCCATACTTTCCAGAGCAAGTTTGATGCAGAATTAAAGATAGGACTCCTCAAGACAAACTATCCCCACGGAAATCTGATAGAATGCTCTGATTTACGAAGTTTTTTTCTCAATAGACTGTTGCCATTAATACCCACCATATCTCTTCACATCCTTTACAGTGAATTATTAGTCTGTATTGATAATGTAGGTAGACTTGGAAAAATCTTTCAATTTCTACAGAGTCTTCATGAAAAATAGCATGCAAATTTTACAGCTCTGAAAATGGAGTTGTGATTTGTTGGATTATAAAAGTACAAGTGTTTATTGTGACTGGTACTGAGAATAAACAGTTGCTTGCATATGCCAGCTACTATGGAAATATGTTTTTAAGTTCTAATGTGAGCTGTAAACCAAAGCTACTTCAGTTAAAAAAAATTCAATACTTAGACTGTGGGGAGAAGTAGTCAGTGCCAGAGAAAACATTCCCCTTTAATAATGTTTGAACATAGAGCTGTGATGCAGTTTGTAGCAAGGCAGTGAGAAAAACCCACAACTAATCCTTCATTGCAGCTGTCTGAACTTTTGGTTGTCTGCCATACTTTAAACAGCGACTTCTTTTTCCTGGTGACTCAAGACTTGAATGACCTAGTGTGGAGAGTTTAAGCTATATACAAAAAAGGAATTAAGTAAGAAATAGCCAAAGTAAGTTGGGTTGCATGCCCCAGCAAATCAGGGGTTTGTATCTTAAGTCCTCTTCAGTGCCTAGGAAAAAATATTAAAATAAATAGATACCTTTTTATTTATTTGTTTTTGGCAAGGAAATATTCAGTGGTTTAGACACCCATCTCTCCTCCTTCCTCTCTTCTCTCTCTTTGGAGTGCTGATGATATATGGAAACTAAATTCTGTAGAGAGTTCAAATTTTGAAGTTTATAAATACTAACCTTTCCTGTAGAAGAACTTTCTAATCTTGGATTATTTTTAACTTTTTCTTCCCATTGATATATCTCATGGGTAGGTCTTTTAAGCAGCATGAAGTACCAAATGAGCTTTTTTTTCCTGATTATTTCTTTTGCAAAGTAATGAAATTTGCTTACTTTCACATGGAAATATTGGGGTCAGAGGAGTAATTTTGCGTAAATGCCAACTTTAAAAACGAAACAGGGCTCTCTGCATTTGCCCCATTCTCACTATCACTTATTTGAAAATGAATTAAACATTTAATTCATTTAATTTAAGTATTATCCTGAACTGATGGAAACCATGTAGTTTGACAAGTCTTACAACGTTCTAATAATTTCTTATTAAGACTAATTTCTAAATGGTCATTCATAGCTACATATTCTGATCTTTCACAGCTATGTATTATGTTGTATCTTTGCATGACAAATAACGGGGTATTGAAAATAGGTAAATCATTGAAGAAAAAAATCAATCTATGCTGGGTCCAATGTCCACGGCAACAAATCTGCAGCATGATAGCTTTTGGGGTACACTAAGCAACAAGGCAGTACAACACAATAAACCATATATTGTCATCTATCTGACTAATGCAAGGAAAACCACAGAAATTGAGGGGATTTCAGCCTGAGAACTCAGTAAGTACCTAAAATGCATGAACACAGTGTTTCTGTACAAAGGGGAGCAAACACCTTTTGGTTGCAAGGGTTTGAGCCCCCAGATACTGCCAGTAGCTTTGTGTTTCATCCCACAGCATCAGTTCTCAGCCAGCTGAAGCAAATTTATCCAGTCTCTGTCCAGACGCAGCAGCACATGATCTGTATGAAATGGAGGCTCAGTTAACAGGTAGCTGTTAATAATGGAAAGGAGGGGGAAGGGAGATCATATCTCAGTTTTAACCCCAGTGAGCAGATTCCAACTGGCCTCCTGTAATATGTAGTTTCACTAGAAGAGAATGATACATGACTTTTATCACAGAGCAACAGATCATCTGTTTATTAGTTTTCCCAAACTCTCTGAATCATTCTGGTTAAGTGAATACTGTGAGTACAAAGAGATGATTCTGCAAAAGAGGGTAGATGTTCTAAGGCAGAACTGGGCTGACAGTCTAAGCTATACACTTTTCAGCTAATTTTTTTAATATGAAAGTATCTTCTGCAAGATTTATCCAAGTAACAGACCTATTTTTTCTTCATAAACATGTGGGCAAGCTGGATGATTTACACAAGAACACACACAAGTGCTTCCTTTCCTGTTTTTTTTGTAACTTGATTTTTATTTAAATACTTCCAAAGCATTATGTTAATGTACACTTTCTTCTGGTTCATGAATAACAAGTATTTTTAAGTCTCGAATAAGATCCTTGTACAATTTGTGTTTGTAATTATATTTTGAGTCTCATTTTCACATGTTCAGTTCCTGAGCCAAATAGTATTGACTTTTCATTTTGAATGATGCTACACAGAACTGTAACACCTACTTTTACCTTTCAGTTAAGCAATATTTTTAATACATGTTCCCTTGTTTATTTTTCAGCATGTTTCCATGGGATTACAGACGATAAGTTTTAGTTGAGTTAACAGTCTCCATAAAGTTGCTTAGTGCAAAATCCATTGTTGGGGTTTTTTTCTGCATTAAAAAAATAGTTTACAACAGAAATTCTAGGTTATTTCATAGTCTAGAATGCATTAAAAGCATAAAGTCACGTGTATGTCAGAGACATATTTACAAATCTGTACAGTTTCTGTCCTTCTTTATTTACTTCGGCTCTTGCCAGGCAACTAGGTTCAACTCTTACCACTCTGAGGTCAAATTCTCCAAGATAACATATATCCATCGCCTGAAAATGCTTTGTTTTGCTTACCAGCCCTGAGATTGATCGCTGCATGTAAGAGGGGCCCGATTCTGCACTCCATTTCATAAAGCCTACCTTCCATGGAGTTAGAGATGGTTACCACTGTGGCTCAAGGCAGAACACAGACAGGGGTGAACCCCACCCAGGCACCTTTTCTTACTCCAGTATTTTGATGTGTTGAACTACTGGTGTATTTTGACTAAGGCTGAGTGGCAGATGAATTTATTTCTGACCTGCAGATTATTCACAGTTGCCAGACTTTCTCTTGTTCATTCAGAAGGGTAAGGAATAGTACTTCATACTAAACACTATGTTAAAGGATTCTAGGAAACATGCTCCCCTCTGTCCCTATTTATTTTCAGAAGTGTTGAAAATGGAACATGCTGTTGGAAAAGCCTCTGTGCTTTTACACCAACAACCAGTTTAAAAAGCCAAGTGTTTGCATTTTGTCAACTGGATGCAATTTCTTTCTTTCCCAGGTCTGATTTATCTTTAAAACCACAATAAGCAGCATGCAAAAGGGCTACCCATCTCCCATAGCCGAGGTCCATTCCAGACACCCCTGCAGCCAATGAAAGAGCAGAATGGTGAAAAAATCAGTCCTTCTGCAGAGTTCATATGGCAAAACTATTATGCATGGCTTCAGTTGCCAGAGGTACTACTGGCTGTGAATTAAAATTCAGTATCTTGGTCAGTCAACATCATGGTCAGAAAAGCAGCTGACTTAATTGTATAGAGTTTCCCTGGAAAGTGCTTCATCGCTGTTTGGCTCTGTAGTAAGAGGCTATTCATCATAACACCTGGAATCAAAGGTGCTCTGACTCCTCTCCTGCTGATACTTAAGGAAGAATGGTACTTAACAGTATTGTCTGAATTCCAGGGAGACATCATGATTTCTATAGGATGATTAGGATGAGAATGGAATTTCTTCACTAAGGCTAAAAGAACACCTTCCAGAAAAATAGCACAATGATCCAACATTCATGGCTTGTTAAATTCACAATGGTGAAGAAAATAACCTTAGTAATCATTGCAATAGTATCCATTAAAGTATGGTAGCATATAGTTTTTCTTTTTAAGACACATCAGGTAATAGTTTGTTACTGTGGTTTATCCTGACCAGCTTGGGCAGGTTCTAAAAAAGGAACAAACACCACATGTGTGGATGCTCCAAAAATATCCGTCTCCTATTCTTCCCTTCTTCTCTCCTTCTTTTCCTCTTCCACTGAGAATAGACCAAAAAGGCCTGACCAGCCCTACCATTACATTATAACCAGGTAACACAGAAATTAATCAATTAATTTATTATTAATAGGAGCAAAATGTAAAAGCAGAACAAACTGTAGGTGTAGTACCAAGCATGCTTGTGTCCTGCTGATGTCTCCAAAAGACCCTTGTGATAAAAATGTACAGATTCTTTAGCTCTGCAAAGTCGAATATGGCTAAACTGTGACTTCAAAAGGTTGAAATTTATTTCTGTCTTCTATGTTCTTTTAGCACTGTTTTTTTCTTCTGCTTTCTGCACTGCTGGATTTTAGCATCCATGAGTCATGTGATCCTTCTAGCATCAGTATGTTTTTTCTTCTGATCTCTAGCATCTCTGCCAAACAGGCCCTGGTTAGACTTTCTGCATTTCGATGTGCTGGTGATGGTAGTGGTGGTAGCAATGATGTCTGGGTTGACACCTCCCATTTAATTTATAGACAGAATTTTTCTGCTGCCGTTTTTTGAAAAACCACACTGCCAGTACAGCTGCAGCCAGTAACAAGCAGAGAAGAATCACAATTACTGCTATGATAGCACCCTTACTGGACTTGGGACAATCCTCTCCCTCACAGGGCTCGGAAGTGGGAACAGGCTTTTCTCCAAGGCCCTGGGTGAGATTTTCTTGCTCAGCTAATTCCTGGGATGCTGTGTCAGTAAAGATGTCTGGAGTTGGTGCAGTGGTTGCTACTTGTTCTGGGTAGGTGGTTGTTTCTTTTAGTTCTGTGTGTGGAGTGTAATCGGAGGGGCTGACCATCACAGAGGTTTCTGACATGGATGTTTTTAAGCTGGTTATGTCAAACAGTATTGTTGTACTGGGCTCCTGAGTCACAGTTTCCAGAGATGCAGCTGGATGTTCCCCTGTGGCATCATCATAACCTCTGCTCACACTGAAGTTCTCCAGACCACTTGCTGATGTAAGTGATGCTGGTGTTTCTTTAGCCCCTTCATCATCTATCCTTGTTGTTGCTGCCACAATCTGTGTTAAACCTTCCTCTGGAGCTGGGCTGCCATTTCCCGATTTTCTTACTTCAACATGATTCGGTTGGTCAGTCGTGAGGATGATGTCATCTTCTGTTCCCATTGAACCATCAACTTTATCGCCCTCCTCTTCCTCTACTTCCTCCTCTACCACCTCTTGTGTTACTGGATAACCATCTAACCATGATTCATCAGTAATGGCAACTGCATCTATCACTGTCTTTGTATCATTGGCTGTGAAAATGGGTCCGATGGGGAAATCCTCACTGTCATAAAACATTTTGGCACCAGGTTCATCATAGACTGTCTTCCCTCCAATGTGGTTATCACCTTCAGGAAACTGTGCTTTAGTAGAATCATCTGTCTCTTTCTCCGATTCAGGTTCGCTGAAAGTTTCTGATGGAAACCAAAACAAGTTTTTTTGGCTTAGAAGTGACACGGGGGACTCAGTTGGTGTCCTGCTTCCTTTCTCAAAAGTGTCTGTGTCCTCAGTAACAGGTTTGGTACTTCCAGTTCTTCCTTCCTCTGAACTTTTACTCAACGAAAGCTGTTCTTGCTCCTGCTCAATTTCTTCCTTGCCATTGCTATGTTCATTCTCAACAGGTATTGATCTGTCATCAGGAAAGTTATCTTCATAGTCAATGTGTGCCTCGGTTTCATCTAGAAACATTAAAAACAAACCACAGAAGCCGACATTTAATTTCTCCAGGAAAGCACTGGGATGACTTAATGCAATAAGCCAAGAAGAAAGGTACAATGAAGAGTGACTTTTAGACAGTATTTTTCATTCTATGTTATTGTTTATTTGAAAGGGACGTGGTCCACCATAAGCTGACACTCAATATAAAATTTTTTAAAAAATCAGATAAGCGCCAACACTAACTGCTAGTATCTTACCTTTCCAGATTTAAAAATGTATGTAAATAAATTACTGTCTGCAGTTAGAGGACTTCCTTCAGTTGCTTATACTTCTCTCAAAACTTACTCTCCCTGATATGACTTTGCCAGACTCGAGAAAAGAATTTCATCACATTCAAGCAAGAAATGTGCATCGAGAGGAAGGTATAGCAAAAAGCAATCAAGTACTCATTGATAGTTAAGAAAACCCAACCCAAACTAAACTAGAAATTTTACAGCAACTTCATCCCTTTTGCGCCAGATGACTTTAAAGGATTATATTGAGTACCTTATGTTCAAAATATCAAGGTACATATTTATCATTAAACTGCTTTTCTTCAGTTACCTTGGTGTTGCAATGTTACAACACCTGGGGCCAGAACTGTCTTTCTCATTCCATGAGAGCTCTTCAAAGGTGCCTGAGGAAGACCCCACCACCGAAGCTGACTTTGAGTTCTGCTTGTTTTCATCTGAAGAACTTGAATCCAATACTTAAAGCCTAACTCCTAGGTATCATGATAATACTGTCTGTAAGCAACTCTCAGGCTTTCAATTTTAAGAAATGAAATGTTACCAAAAAGAAGAGAGGAAAAAACCAAAATCAAACTGTTAAAAAACACCTCAGAGTGTAACAGAGGGATGGATTCATTGCAAAGTTTGAGTTTAATTTAGCAATACTCCCCATGTCTCAACAGACCTAGCACTCAAAGCAAAATAGGCTTGACTTAAAGCATGAAGATAAATGTTTGAATTTGAATGAAATAATGCATTGTAATTTATATTTCTTCCACTCTTCTAAAAGCTTAGCTCAATGAAACATTTTCCAAACTGGACAGGATGGTTGATTTTCAGCTCACACAAGTTTTACTCCTTAGAAAGTTGATGTAATTGCTGAGATTTATGCTGGCATTAAAAGTCGTAGAAAACAGTGCCTTGGGATATGGAAAATAAAACAAACTGAATCATGGTGAGAATTTTTCTTTTTAAGAGAGTGTTTAGTCTTTCATGAAGACATTGAAGCAATAGACTTGGCATGGCACAGGAAAAAAGAAATTAATAGGAGAATCTGTATTACAGATCAATGCCTTCATAAAGCCTTATCTTTTTTTTACCTTTTTACACTCAACCAATTTTGCATTACATTTTCATCTGGGGCCTGCCTCAATTCCCTCCTGAGTCACATTCTCCTTGAAGACTGCTTCCCAGACTTCTGGCAGAACCATATTTGGTCTACTCTTAAAAAAGATTAGAAATATTGTCAAACCAGTCTGACCAAAAACGCTTAGCAGTGATACAGCTCCCACCAGCTCACTTTTTGCCAGAACAGCTTAAGCCAGGTGCCAAAACAGAATGAGCATTAACAAAAGGTATTTTCCTTGGAATAGCATCTGGGTCTACCAGAAATCAAAGCAGTTATGCCGAGGAAACCAAAATGTGTGACAAAATGTGCAGAGAGTTAATACCTCTGTGAAAGCTATCATCCTGTAGAGCAGGTCTTCTCATCTCACAAGGAGGGTTTTGGGGGAAACCTACACATGATAAACCAGTGCCAACAATTGACCTCTCTCTCTCGTGTTCCCAGTGTCCTCATCTGCATGTGTAATCCTCTACATCCTCTCCATCTTCTCCAAAGCAGAAAAGACTTCTGTCTGGTGCAAGGGTAACTTAACAATCAGGGAAATACAACTCTTGGAGTGGAAAGCTTCCTGGTAGGACTCTCACTTTTGTAGTTAATCCTAAAATCTTTTCCAATAGTTTTTCAGAATTTTGTAAATGAATGGAGACTAACTCTGAATACTGAAGCATTTTAGAAACATGTTCATGAGGCTCTGCATGGCACTGGTCATTGCTGTGTTGCACTTCTACTAGCCATCAAACATTTATCTCATTTTGTCCCTTGTCTTGCTTTGCCTTAAGAATTTTTCTACCTGAATGGCGCTCTCTTTGCATGGAAGTGGTGTCTCAAACCATTTTGTTGTCCATCCAGACTCCAGCTAGAAGTTGATATCTCACATGCCTGCTTCACTAAAGTCCAGCGTCTCTCAGGACAGCCCATAGGTGTCTGTTGCATATATATGAACTGGAAGATCGTAATGTGAGAAGTCACCATTTACCAGCTGTTATAGTCATTGTTTTCTTTTTTGAGATGCATCATCACATCAGTCTGTCTTCACTTGTCTGTCTCTTGTACCTCTATTTTTCCCACTCATTTGCTTTTCAGACTGCAGTAATTCAGCTGAGGTTGAAACATGAATTTTTATGTTATGGTGTTCTAGAGCAGGTTCGTGCATCCATGAAAAAAATTACATCCACATGTTTATGTTGTTCCCTTCAGACCTATTATTTAGTTAGCAGTATGAACGAGCAGCTAGTATTCATCTCATTGACCAGTACCTTAAGTACTGGTCAATGAGATGACCAGTATGATCCATACTCATTCACCAACGAGTATGGATCACTGTGAATGCTTAACAACTGCAGTAACATGTTTTTTATAGAATTTGAAGCTTTTTCTCTTTAGTACCTCTCCTGCCATATAGTTTCAGCCTATGGAGGCACACCAGGAAAAAGCATGTGCTCCTAAGAAAATACAAGTCCTCAGTCTATTAGAACATATCAAAGATTTGTTGAAACATTGATCAAGTCTCTATCAAACCTACTGTCTTTGGGCCTGATCCTGCCTGTAGAGAAATGAATTGATGCTTTCTTAATGCTGAGCTGAGGAAAGAAAAGGCCCATTGTAGTCTAAAGGGAGCCTGAGATTGGAGCTCATTATGCACTGCTCGTCACTGCATAAGGGAGTCTTGTTCCTTCTGACAATTAGATTGTGGTCCAAGTTGTAAAGCTGCTATAACATATGTTCTTATGCAATCTCACGTATTTCTATAGTTTATAGCAAAGACTACCAACATAACTAATGTTAGCTTACAGGATGCCAGAATGAAAGCAGCTATTGAGCTCTCTAACCATCAAAGGAAATACAGCCCCCCTTACTCTGAAGCTTTGATTTATATGATCCTGGATTGATTTACACAGTAACAATGCCCTGTTCTTTCTTCTGGGCCTACGACCTTCAAACGGGTCTTGGACTTAGTATTTAGTGATTTTATGTTACCACGACAATCTGTTAAGTTCGCTGTGAGCTTGATTTTCAAGAACAGATTGCACAATTTTTGCACTTCTTTTTCCTCACTTCCTTGGCATTTTCTTGAACTTTTGAGCTCCCTGAATCTCAGTGTTGGTACTGAAGAGCAACAACCAAAGTAGATTCAGCTCCACCTCTTATCCAAATAGTTGTAACCATTATTTATATTCAGTTTTAAAACAGCTAGTAACTGATTTAAAAGTGATTGCATCTTCCTTTCTACCCAGGCAGGTCTGGTTTTACGAAGAGCTAGCACAGAATCTTTCTGTATTTGGTCACTGTTACATCTTATCCCTTCCCTCCTCTGGCAGACTCAAGGATCAGTGAGTTTTACCTGATGTCTAAGGGATTACTGATGCTAAAATGAACCTTTTACAGCAACAGATGCTGCAATGACATACTACCAAAGATATGAAGCTCAATTAAAAGGTAAAATCCTTTTAATTTTTAATTAAATATTTTTGGGAGGCAACCGTCCTTAAGAGCTTTCATCTCCTTCAATTTTTGATCCTAATGTGAAAACAGTGACCAAACATAGAGACAGGTGAATACAAAGAGCTTGGTTTTCCACACTGTAGGATCAGTTTAATTTTTCTTCTAGATAGCATATTGGCATCCAAGCTCTATTTTGAGTGTTGCTATTTTGGACAACCGTAAAGTGCACTGCATATTTCGTGGATGTATTTTTGGAGTACAGGAAATTGAAACTTGATTCTATGTAGACCATCATTATAAACATTTCTACTCTATAAAAACATCTTTATTCTAAGAATCTCAAAGTAACTACAGCAAGCATTAACAAGACAGCATCTGTTTTAAGGGTGGGAAGGAAAAGGGCATGTAGACCAATTTGCCCAAGATCAGTCAGATTTGTGAACTACAGCATCTCAATGAATTATCCATTTGACTTGGATCAGGCACACAAACACACTTTTGTCGAGTCAACCAGAGTACGCTAGACAGATATTGTGTTGCTTTTTGTCTTTTGCAATAACTACAAAAAGGAGGATAAATTTTATTCCAGTAGAAAGCCTGTTAATATAGATAAATAACCCATCAATTTTTTTTTTTCTAATTCCATTTGGCAGAATCAGTTCATGCCAGATCGATACTTTACATTAATCTAATACAACCGCTCACTGATAGGCCTGAAAATGGAACTGAAGTTTGTCATAAGAAATGTTTTGACAGGCCATGGAGATATTTTTTCCTGATTTTATTTTTCTGTCACAACTCTTCCTTTGCACTCTCAGAATAAAAAAAATAAATAATTCCCAAAGAAGATAAAAAGCCAAAGACATTTTGTTTGATTCTCTTAATTTGAAAAAAAAAAAACAAACAAAAAAACAAACCACCAAAAAACTAAAAGACATAAAAAGAAATGCTGCTGGTCAGTTGTGCTTACAGACCACATGAATGTGAATCAACTCAGAAAACAATGTTTGAAGTAATGAGAATAAGCAAAGTAATGAGAACCAGGCAAAATGACTGGGAGCTGCAGATAAAACTTTCAGAGATGGTCAGAGTTAGCCAAATCCAACTCTGAACACACTAGGCAACTATCCAAGTGTTGACACTGGAGAGATTCCTTCAATGTGCAGAAGAAAGGGACCCTTCTGTCACAAGCATATAGCTGGAAAAACCCAAAGCAACCCAGAGAAAAGGATAAATAGATTATATTCTTTTGAGCCAGTTTTAGGGCAGAGATGGGTCAGGATTTCCCAGCTTTATCATTTGCCTTCTCTTTGAGGAAGCAAACTCTCGGGGATACAGCCTAATGCAATGCAGCCCTGACCTCCCTCACAGAAGCGTTGGTGTTAATGCTTCTGATATTGAACCTGTAGTTCATTTTGGGAAAAAAAATGAATGTCATTTAGCAATGGTCACTTTAGTCTCTGTGCCTGCAGGACAGCCATGGCACGGCATGTATACATCTGCTTTCAGGCCTTACTACAATGCCAATCTTCAGGATATATTTTGTGAAACAAATGCATTATTTCACAAAAATAGAAAAAATAATAAGCTACAAAACTCATGTATTTCCCTGTTCTCTGCTTAAAGTTGCCTTGTTGGGTTGAATATCCTTGTGTTTTTAGCTAGAACACAGCATCTTTTCATGATGAGGAATTACAGGGAACACTAACTGTACAGAGCCACATTTTTTCTTAAAAAGCATCTTGATTAAAAATTACAGTATATTATCTGTTGTGCACAATGTATATTAAAGCTATTTGTAATGTACTGTTTTCTTAATTTCCAACATAGTTTACTGTATCAAAATCCACTTAATATAACCCCAAAATCATTTTGTTCAGTTATGCCCATAGCCAAATTTTGCCATGTATTTTGGGTTATATGTGTATTGATGCATAATTTTTTTTTCATTGAATTTACAAATCTGCCAACTGTATGGTCCTACACTTGCATCCTGGGTGCCAGAATGGACTGTATCTCTTCTTACTGGCTCAAAACAGAGAGGAAAGACGATCATAAAGTGACTTCAAAGAACACTTGAGGGCTATATTTAGACACTGCTGTGATGATAGTTCTTTGACTCTGTATTTGCTCTGGGGGAACAACTGGGAGGGTAGAGCAGGCACAGTGTTTTTACACAAACAAGAAAAACATAAAATTATTGTGGTTTAGTCTGATATTCTGCCTGGACAGCTGGGCATTATAATGCGGAAGGTACCAACTAGAACTATGGTACACAGGTATAGCATCCACAAACCTCAGAAAGCTTTATGAAATTAGATAAATGTCATCACTCTTTCACAGGTGAAGGGGAGCAAGCAGCAGAGAGCAGTATAGTGACTTTTCCACAGTCTCAGAGGCAGCGAAAGATATAGGAACAGGCTTATATCTCTCAATCCTCTGACGGTAGTTTTCTCCCGGTGGTCCCACTGTGTTGGTGTAAGAGCATCAGGAACACTTCACATTTCCAGTTGCTCACCCAGCGCAGATGCAGAGCAAGGGAACTGTATCATCTTACCAGCCTCTAAACATAGCACTTAAGTGTTCATTGAGGAGGCTTCACAAACATCTTTCCACTGTTGTCAGCTGGTTAGGACAGTAGTCCACTCTGCCAACAGGGATATAAATTCTCTGTTAAGTCCCATAATTAACCTTCATGATAGGAAGGTGCTCTCTTGCCTCAAAGCACTTACAAAGCAGTGTGCATGCTGAATTCTGGAGTACTTAATAATCATTCTTCTCTCTCCTATGACCCCAAAATATCAGTCAACTGTAAATCAGGTTTCTTTTAACTAAATTCCTTTTTTTTTTTTTGCTGTTCTTTTTCATTGAATTCTTACTTTTTAAAAAATAATGAACCCTAGTATCACACATTTCAGTCTTCCTGTAAAGTATTTTTTCTTAAAAATTTGTGATCAGGAAGATTAAATATATAATTATTAGATGAACACTTACTGTATTTTTTATCCCAGGTCCTTTAAGTGTTTGAAAAACAATAACTACAGGAAACCCTTCAGCATGAAGTCTACATTGAAACAATTTAAAAAATCATAATCCACAATATCACATCTACCCCAAGTTTCATTTTTGATGTTTGTGACTTTACAGCCACACTTTCTTATTTCTTTTAAAAATATTTTTCGCTCCCCTGTGTGAAAGGCTCAGGTAGAACACAGGAAATAGACCATTTATCCAGAGGAAACAGTGAAACACACACAATTCAAATGACCTGATTCTTTCCCTTCCTTACTTTGATGTAATACAGTTTTATTTCTGTGTGTGGTGAAGTTAGCGTTTCCACTAATCTCAGTGAAGGAAAAAGAAGTATCAATTGGTGCAGATTACAGGAGATTCAGACCCACTAGGTTAGTTGAAGATGTCCCTGCTTATTGCAGGGGTGTTGGACTAGATGACCTTTAAAGGTCCTTTCCAACCCAAACAGTTCTATGATTCTGTATTCTATGATCAGATGTAGATACTCTTTTTTCTGTCTTTTCCTCCATGCTCCTCCTCTATGCCCTGCAATATTCTGCTTAATCATCTGAACTACTGTTTGTAAGAACAGTTTCAGAAGCTGAAGTAGTTCAGAAAAATGTTGGTTCTTTTATTTTGGGGTTTTTCTTACATCTCTACCATTTGGATGGGTTTGAAAGTCTGGTTCCCAGGTGCACAGAAATGACCTATTTCTACTAAGAACAAGTTTGACCTTTTCTCATGATTATCCATTGCCTGATGGTATATATTCATAAATAAAAATAACTCTTTGCAAGCCCCTGGGCATTAAGGAATATATAGGTTCTGAAACTGATATGCTAACTCCAGCCCATATAGATAGCTCAGCTACCCAATGGCTGCCCAGTCCTTTGCCTAAAATTTATCTGTTTTGGTAGAAATAATACCTTAAAACTGTGATTTCTCCCTGAAAAAAATAGTAAGATACTCTGATGACTATTCTTAAATATTGGAAAAAAGTGGTGAGTTTATGCACTGAGCAGGGTAACAAGAGAAAGCAGAATTCAGATTACACCCACACCTGAACTCGTGGTACTATTTAGCTTATGTTAAACACGGGCAAAGTTAAAAGCTTACTGAAGAATAAATAACATCTAAAGGTGGATCTTATTGGGGATTTAAATTAAGAAAATATAATTCTTATAATTTCCCAGAGCTTTTACATTTTGCTTGGGGTTTTGGTTTGGTTGGGGGTTTTTTGTTTGTTTGGGTTTTTGTTTTTGTTTTGGTTTGGGTTTGGGTTTTTTTTGTTTTGGTTTGGTTTTGGGTTTTTGTTTGTTTGTTTGTTTGTTTTTTGTTTTGGGTTAGATTTATTTTGGGGTTTTTCATTTGTTTTGTTTTTTCAATAATAATCCATTTTCTTGAGTCAAGTCATTTTGATAAAAAAATCCATTTTCAATCCTTTTAATGGAATAAATATCTGGGCAGTTACTACTGTGTTTGTAGACAAACACTTGGGTACAAGTTAAGAATTGTTCACCTTTTTATTGGGGCAAATTAAAAAACGATACACTTTTTTTTTTTTAAACTTTTCCATCTCACTGTTTAGCTATAACACAAAATGCATTTCTGCCACTTTGTCACAGACGACTTCTATGGCACAGGTAGGTCTCTTAACTTACATAAGTCTTTAATTTTCCCATACTAACAAAAGGAAGCAGCATTTATCATGTGTAAGGCCAGAGGTTCAAAAGGAGTAAAGCTAAAGGAAAGGCCTAGTAAAAGCTCAGATCATCCCATCTAGCTTCTTACAGGGCTGTGGAAATAGTCAAGAGCTTAAAAGGGTTTTTTATATTGAATGGATTCTGCTGCCCAGAAGGAACTTTCATACTCATATAAGTATGAATAAGTTATCATTTCCTGTGGTTTATGGGAGATGTCTAACAATGGGATTGTAGAACCCTTGTTGGGCCAGATAAGGCATTGACCTTCCCAGGGACTGCCCAGGACACACCACTGCGAGCATGGAACAATCTTGGTTAGGCTGATGGGAGGATGTGACCTCCTGGAGGGATGCTCCCTGTGTTGGGTGAGTTTACCTTTGACACAGGCCTGGACCTGCCCGTACCACTCCCCGCAGCTGTCACAGAGTAGCGTGAACGCCGTCTCCTTGTTGCCCATGATGTACCCCTGGGCACAAACATACAGCAGCTCATCCCCCATTTCAAAGCCAGTGTGGCCATGCAGGATGGTGTGGGGGAAAGATGGTGGGTCCCCACAGGGCTTGTCTGAAAAGTAAAAAGAGACGAGATTGTAGAGACCTTACGATAGTCTTTTAATATGGTGCTAACAGTGGTGCTGAAAGGGTTATCCTGAGGATAAACTTATACCTGTCCACAGAAATATCATCTGTTTAATACTCTTATGCTCCTTCACAACTATTTTCAGCTGTATTTGAGAAGGTACATATTGGGCTATAACTGTGATGCAATAACCTTAAAAAGGCTTTTGTTTGGAAGCTGAAAAAATGACCTCCAAGACTGTGCTCCTAAACATGTAGAAGGAGAAACATCTTCAGAGAGCACCCTTGCTATTTTGCATGAGTCCACTTTTAGGGCATCATCAACACAAGGTCCTACAAGCAACAGTTCCATTGACACCAGTTCATGTCCGGTGTTTTCAATTGGCAATAGTTTTGACAGAAAAGCTTTTCTCAGTCTCCTTTCTGCAAAAGCTCAGTCTTTCCTGCTTTTGCCCTGGGGACATTCTGCAAAATTCTTCTGAGTCTCAGCTGTTGCTTTTCCCATCATCTACCCTCTTCTGACCCAAGCATAGGTAAATACATGCTTGTTTAGAAATATGATGTATTTATGTTGCCAGCTGTTTATGTTGTAGTGAAATGAAAATCCTACAATAAACATCCACCCTCTGTGAAAGTTCCTTTGGATCAGGCTTTCAGAAATCATCTGATAGACCTGACTAACCACTTCTCAACTGGGTATGCTGAAAAAGAGCTGCCACTAATATAAGGGACATGCTAATGAAGTCAAAGCTTTGAAGTCTGTTCTCTATACTGTGCACACACACACATACATATAAATATATATATAAATATAAATAAATATATATATATATACTGTCTAACACCTTCAGAACTTAGTGGGAGTCATGCACACACACACTGACAGAAAAAAACAAGCTGTTGAGGCTACACAAAGCTCAGTCTATGAACAGTCTTATGGAGGTTTGGCATCTGAGGAAGTGAGGCGCAGTTAGCAGCTAATGCCTTTCCTGTGAACTGGTCAGATGAATAGAGATTGATGTGGATGAAAGGAATAAAAAATTATTTTACTGCCTCATAAGAAGGTTACAGAGCCCTGCGTTTCATGTACTTTATTTATATAGCTACCTCTATTGGTACGAATGGGAGCTGTGTGTCTGCTCTGAGGGAAGTATTGATCCCAAGGTTGTAAGGGACAGTTATACATCAGAGGATACATCAGAGAATACTCTTATCTACAAAGCCTTGCTTCTTGATCCTGTGGCCAGAGGAAGCATAAAAGTAACACATTAGTTAACTATGGCAAACACATTCAAAAATCACATTATAACCTTCCAGGAAAGAAGAAAGGTGGAGGGATCTTTACAGTAAAATTTGACAACAGACATGGTAACAGAATTATGAGAGCCTGAGAGATCTGGTTGGTGTTGAATAGAAAGAAAAGCAGAGATTTTAAAGACGTTCATGGACCAACACTGTGGGTTACTTTTGACTCTCTTGTGACTTTGTAAGGTCATGCCTTTGCTGCAGAGCATATTGAGTGGCAGCATGGACAAGATTAAGTGAAAGCTGATATCTTGCAAAGACAAATTCAAGTTCCTGCATCCATTTTGCTACTGTCCTCTCCTGTGTAAGATGCACAGGAATTTTCTGGGTTACAGCATCTTATGGCTCCTCATCCTGCTGCAGTCTTGGTTGCTATGACAATTCCTGCTCATCCTTTTGCCAAACATGTTCTTTCTGGTACATGTACAGAAGTGACACTGGCACAGCAACTCATCAAACTGAGCCACTTCTGGGGACAGGCTTCAGGTTTTTGTCTGCAGCCTTTGTACTAGGAACTGGAAGAGCATGAGCTTATTTGTAACAACAATTTGTGCTCAGTGCTGGCATTCGGGTCATTTTCTTGCTGGAAGAGAGGAGGCAGATCTGGGCCACAAAGCGTGACAGAGGGTGTGTTGGCAGCAGCTTGTCATGAAGAGGAACAGTAGTGCTCTTTGTTAAGGTGACCACAGGGGTTGCCTGGGGTGGTGATGGTGGTAGATGAGGACGGGGTTCCTCTAGTGCTGAACTCTCGATCTGGAGCTCTGATTTTCCCCTCATCCATCCTCCCATAAACCAGCATATTTTCTCACTGTTTGCTAAAAAATTAGCCCAGTGCATGGTTCCCAGTAGAAGAGAATGATGTTCTTGATACTTGAGGGCCATCCAACAGGTCCCATGCTCTGCCTGCTTGTGTCCCAGATCACATCTCAAACCTGGAAATTTGGAATTGGTTTCTGGACATCATGACCCTTCCTGAGTTTTCTATATATTGACACTGAGGTCAATCACGTAACACAGCTCCGTATGTTGATAACTGACCTCCAGTAAGCAAGAGTGGATTGGGCTACAGAGCAAGACAGGGCAGCACAGCACAGATATAAGAAAACAAGTTAAAGTACACAGAAGATCCTCCTGCCAGCAGTAGTTTGGCACAGACTGTCTCCTTGAGTGAAAACCACTGCTACAGTCAAGAAAGACCTTAATATACATGTGTAGAAATCAGGATGGAGTCAATATCTGAAAAATGATAGGGAGTAAGTGGCACAGCAAAGATGTAAGTGTTGAGCAAAAATATGTTAGGGTTAGTAATGGCTCTGGTTACAGACCTCTTAGAGACTCATTAACTATTTTTTACATGGGACTGAAGAGGCCTCCTGTTAATTGAGTTAGCATATTCAGTCAATTACTGTTTTTTAGGAAAAATGAGTCCTCTGAATACTGACTTTAACTCCAAATCTTGTGTGGAAAGGAGTTTGTGACAAGTGATATTTGGCAAAGAGTTGACACACTTCACTTTAAGAACACAGCACCTCTCCTCCCCTACCTGGATTCCTCCTGAAGCATCTTTACTTGAATTACAAGCTCCCATTAGTTTGTAAAAACTCTTTGAGATGTCTTGATAGAACACTGTCTACAGAAAGGGCAGCCTAAGACCAGTGCAGAAAAAATCAACATGCAGACTTCAGCTTCCATATCACCTGGCAGAACTGGGAATTTACTGGAATCTGTTTATCTGCAGTCGCTACTTTAACTGTGTACCACACTCTGAAAGCTGACATGAGACATCCACTTTGACATAAAGCATCCCCTGTTACAACCCTTCAATTCAGTAGAGTTTTTCCAGAGAGACCACTGGAATTTGTAGGATGTCATCTCGTCATTAAGAAATTAGAAAACACAACTCCTAACAGTCAGGCCTGTGAAAGAGATGAGTGAAGATGTTTGTTTTCCTTCTTGATTGCAGAGACCTGAAAGTATATGGAATTTTTCTATTTGGATAAAAGTACTGCGAAAATAGAGTACAAAAAACCAAACCTCAATTATAGCCAATGTAAGTGTTGCTTGTAAGCTACCAATGTTGGGATGCCAATATCTCTTACATCGATAGGACTCGTAAGACTTTATTAGTTTAAATGACATCACCACATAGATGGGAACTCACTGTCAGCTATATGCAAAGCTGGAAAAAAGAAAACTGTAGCACTAAAGAAATGAAAAATTTTATATCCACAGCAAAGCATGACAAATACAAAGAAATAGTTCAAATATTACACAAAGCAAACTGCAGTTTGATTGCTCTTGTAAAGTACATTTAATATGTTTTCTGTAAAGAAAACACTAATTTCTTTTTTTATACTGTTGAAAAAGGCAAACTGAAATATGTATGTAAACCATCAAGCTTCGATGGATATCTGGAGCCAGGAGTCATGTTTAAAACAGTTTGATTTGCATTTATGCTGTACTGTACTACAAGTTGCTGCCTGTTTAGTTTTCCTGTGGTGGCAGCAAATCAAAGCCTTATGGAACAGAGATCTTACTTGTTGCCTGTAAATATCAGTGGGTGAGTGAAAGAAAGAACCAGCAAAACTTGGGAGCTATTAACAACAAGATCTTTCCTTTGTTGCATAAAAAAAAAAAAAAGAAAGAGAACCAAAAGTATTATATACATATGAAATTGAACGGTATGCGGTATTAAAAAAAAACTAAGACAGGCAGGAAAAATTCCAGCTTTCTGGTTTTCTTGCTTTATCTACTTTAAACTTTGAGGTATTTTCTTATAAGCTTTGCTAGAGAATAAATACACACTCTGTGTTACAGATCTGACTTTATGTGTGATGCTGCATTTTCAGAATAGGCAGAATCTAATATAATTTTAGGTATATTTTGGCACTCAGGGCTAAGAGAGAAACTTCTGATCTCGGCACATCCTGAGCTGTTACAGAGTTGTCTTGCTGACTCTAATGGCTGCATAAAACATCACTTTACGGGAAATCAAGAAGACACATTTCTCTGTACTGTGAAAACTGCAGCTATTCTCACAACATTCATAAAACATTACAGCTACATCTTTCCTTGTCAAACACAACTCTTAGTACCAATTCCATGTAAAACAACTCTTAGCCTTAAAGGTTGTTGTGATTCTTCTGTGTGTACAGAACAAAAACCATTTCAGAAACAAAACCAAAAAAAAGTCTCTCTCTCTTCAGGATTTTTATTTTCCTGATGTTGCAAGTGCATCCAGAGCTCTTGCTAGCACCTGACCACTGCCCCTGCTGTTGGGGCATGCTGAGGTGTGTGCTTAAGGAATTTGACTGAACTCATTTGCATGCTAAATGTTAATTGAGTCAAGGTTAATTATAAATCAAGGCCTAAGAAGGCAATTTTTGTAATGGTCTGTACTAGAAGTTTCATGGTGGTTCGAGATGCCCTTTGCACAATCCTAAGAACTGCAAATAGAGTTTGAAGAGCTACTATCATCAACTGAAGAAGAGAAAGCTAATGTGACTCTTCCCTCTGTCCGTTCTCAACCAACCCATCTCAACTCAGCCAAGTCTGACAAAGAAGGAAAGCTGCTGAGTGTCTCCTCATTGTGGTGAGATGAGATTAAAAGAGGAAAGAGTCAAAGCCAGGTGTCTTTTCCATCAGGATAGGCACATGTAGGACTCAGCTCTTACTGTTCCCACATGCAGTTCTGGCCCACTGATGAACAAACCAGCGTGTTCATATCTCCAAGGCAGCCACAGCACAGTGCCCCTCTGCCTAGCCAGCCATTCCCAGACCCAGCAAGGAGTTGAGAGTGCCCTGAGGGTGAGGTTGAGAAATACTGGAGAAACAATCGGATGAACTTCATATGGGACTGCAGATTATTAGTTGGATGAATATAGAAGAAATTAAAGGGCTGGAAGAAATTAATATGGGGACACAGATCTCAGTGTAAGAAACCTGGGATTTATCAGTTTCAGCAGGGTAATACAACTTGCCTTTTGTATTTAATACTAACATATTTCTGTATTATAATTGAAATTGTAGTGCTTAAAAGTGATGCCCAGTTTTCTAAAAGAAAAAAATATTCATGAGGTTTCATGAATGAACAACTCATTAATCCAGACTTAGATGTGTAGTTATGAGCCATACGTACAAAACATCAAAACAGATATGCTATGTGTGAGGTTGTGGCACAGTGTTTGCTGTTGCTGCTTCTTACTGAGCATTTGCTAAAAGTAGAAGTGGCATCCCTGAGGTGTAGGATGCTGTATCATTGGTCAACAGCTCTGTGCTGGCTTGTGTGTCACTGTGTGTTATACTTGCACGTTAAAGTTATTTCCTTTCTGGACTTTGCCCTTTCTATACCAGCTACAAACTAGGCTCTGCCACACAACTTCTCTTAAGCCTTTCCATTCAAACATTGGCTCTGCATCCCAAATTTTTTATATTTTCAAAGAAGAGGGAACCTTACAGTCATCCAGAAATGTTTCTGTGTATAAGAACTGTTTGGTGAGTGCATTGGAATGATCATCCCATTCTGCCATCAGAAAATTCCCTGCCTTGTACAAAACAAATTTTTAAAAAATTTGGCTGTTCTTTGTAAATGACCTGAATTTCCCCCGAATTTTAACTATGCAGTTTCTGAGTCCTATGTAGTACTCCTTTGCAGCATAACCTTGTCTGTTATGTTCTTATCTTCATCTTTACTAGTCCTTTACCATGAGCAGTAACCAAATGCAAAAGGTAAACACAGTTCCTTCTCTGAGACCCAGCATCTACGTGTAAGCTCAGATGGAGCAGGTTGGGACAGACAGGGGAGCACAAGGGCACAATGGAACAATAGTGGCCAGAGCAATGATTTCAGCATCCCACAGCTGTCCCACCCACTGCAAGGTTTTTCTCGAGGGGGGAATGATGACAAAAGAGAGATTTGAAGGAAGACAATGAGAGAGTTTTGCAGATGTTTACAGGGAGCTGCTCCTATATGTGAGGAGCAGCATGGAAGAAAGCACAAAGGTGCTTGTGTGACAACATTAGCAACTGGGTGACAGAGCTGGCATTGCTCACAGCAGCACGAAGCCTGGATTTGATATCACAAGGCTTATTTGAGAGGATGGTCAAACTCTGCTAAAATCACTCTTTCTAAAAAGAATGATTTGGTACACATCAAATATGCATAACCTCTGCTACATTTCACTTCAACTGTATTTTCATCACCGCTGCTGCCACTGTTTATTAGAATGACCCCTGTGTGGTGAACTTACTGCTTCTCAGTAAATGTCTGCTTGCCTTTGCTTTTCTTGGAAATGGGATGCAAAAACTCGCTACGGACATCAACAATCTGCTTCAGGTGTTCCCAAACTTCTTTACACAATCCTACCTATCAGTAACAATTTACTTTTTGCCTTCAGAATTCATCTTTGCTTGTGGGTTCCAGCATTTTAATATCAAAAAGTCAAAACATCAACTTACATTGGAAATAGTTTGGTTTACAGAATCATTCATGGTCAATCAGAGTCCCTGGGAGGGTGGTCTATGCTTGTTAACAAATTAAAAACTCCAAAACAGCACTAAAATGGAGGCAATGGCGTTATTTGCATACTGATAGATATCATAGAATCATAGAATCATAGAATCAACCAGCTTGGAAAGGACCTCTGAGAGCATCAAGTCCAACCCTTGATCCACTATCACTGTGGTTGCTAGACCATGGCACTAAGTGCCACATGCAGTCTCATCTTAAAAACCTCCAGGGATGGAGAGTCCACCACCTCCCTAGACAGCCCATTCCAGTGCCTGATTACCCTCTCTGTGAAGAATTTTGTCCTGATATCCAATCTAAACCTCCCCTGGCAGAGCTTAAGACCATGCCCTCTTGTCTTACTGATAGTTGCCTGGGAGAAGAAACCAACCCTCACCTCGCTAAAACCTCCTTTTAGGTAGTTGTAGAGAGTGATGAGGTCTCCCCTGAGCCTCCTCTTCTCCAGGCTGAACAGCCCCAGCTCCCTCAGCCTCTCCTCATAGGACTTGTGCTCCAGTCTCTTCACCAGCCTTATTACTCTTCTCTGGACCTGCTCCAGCACCTCAATATCCTTCCTGAACTGAGGGGCCCAGAGCTGGACACAGTACTGCAGGTGTGGCCTCACCAGCTCTGAGTACAGGGGAATAATCACTTCCCTGGTCCTGCTGGCCACCGGACCTTCCCTGTTCCTGATAGAGGCCAGGATGCCATTGGCCTTCTTGGTCACCTGGGCACAGTGCTGGCTCACATTCACCTGCCTTCAGTCCAAACTCCCAGGTCCCTTTCTGCCTGGCTGCTCTCCAGTCACTCTGTCCCCAGCCTGTAGCGCTGTAGGGGGTTGCTGTGGCCAAAGTGCAGGACCCGGAACTTGGCCTTGTTGAACCTCATCCCATTGGAATCAGCCCAACTCTTCAGTCTGTCCAGGTCCCTCTGCAGAGCCCTCCTGCCTTCCAGCTGATTGACACTCCCCCCCAGCTTGGTGTCATCTGCAAATTTGCTAATGGTACACTCAATCCCCTCATCCAGATCATCAGTAAAGATATTAAACAGAACTGGGCCCAACACTGATCCCTGGGGGACACCACTGGTGACCGGCTGCCAACTGGATGCAGCACTGTTCACCAGCACTCCCTGGGCCCGGCCCTCCAGCCAGTTCCTAACCCAGCACAGAGTGCCCCTGTCCAAGCCGTGGGCTGCCAGCTTTTACAGGAGAATGCTATGGGAGACAGCGTCAAGGCTTTGCAACAATGTGGTGTTTTGGGGCTCGAAATCACCTTGCTAAATTACGTTCTGCTACAGTGCTGAGTAAGGGAGATGCTTCAGGCACGTCCATCATATTTGTGCCAGATATATTCCTTTTCATAAAGTATGTTCTGTTGGAACAGAACATACTACTGATTCTGCTGGATCAGTAGTGTTTGAACTTGCTAAACTGCAGCAAAGACAAAAGATAATACAGTTTATTTGCTGCAACAATGTCTTTGCAGCAGTTGGCTCACTTAGCGGGTGATGACTATAAAGATTTATTTTTTATATTTCCTTTTTGTTTCTCACCAGTAGAAAAAATTGAAGGCAAAACTTTTAACATTACAAGATAGCAATGACTGTGAATTATTTCAAAAGTATATCAGTGCTGACCTTCATCCTTTACACAAAAAGCACCATATTGGTCATTCTCAAAGGGATCGGTTTCAATTTTAACATCAATGGCTTTCACGCTCTGCTGTTTGCTGCCCGTCTTTCTGCATATAATTGTCCTAAAACAAAGAAGAAGAAGAAAAAAATAATCAGAAATCTTCTGGAGTTGTACATGCAGATGAAATTTGAAGATTTTTTATCAGAGCAGTCAGGCTTTAGCCTCGGTTTAACTGTTTCATAGATGGCAAGTAAGAGATTAGTGTGGGAAGATCTATGAAAAGAAGCCAAGGGAGAAATAGAAATAATTAAAAAAATGTTTGCTGTAGATCATTTCAAGGCAAAGAAAGCAATAAGGAATGTTTATCTTATTATATTCTGTAATACTTCTAAATATCAGACCTAGACCCAGAGTATTTAAGGCCATATTCTTCTCTCACATTTCAGCAGTACACATTCCCACCAATAACACCTGGATAGAAATGAATGGAAAACTCAAGGTTATAATTTGAGAGATTATAAATCATTAGCATTTTACATTAAAGAATGATTAGGTTGCATATTTAACTGCTCAAAGGCTAATACAGGCAAGCTCAGAAAATTTGTCTTGGGTTCTTGGAAATAAAACTGAGGGTTTTTTAATAGTAATTTTACACATTTGTGTAAACTCCATTTCTTCTGCTTTGGTACTCAGCAGTAACTAATCCATCCTATTGCCCCTCATAGGCTTGAAAAGTTTTAAGTCTGTATTTGGTTTTACGGCCCTGTAGATGCTGAACACGAAGGAAGAGTTTATTAATTATCTCTCTTCTCTCAGCTGTGCTGGCTGCTTAAAACAAACAAATAGAAGAGAGCTTGTTGTAGAAAACACTGGTTTTACTGTTACATTAAAGGTTACAAAGGCTGGGAAAGTGAATTCAGCCCAAATTTTTGCAGCTGGATATTAATGGTGATGGGTTTATATTTTTGTGCACAGCAGGCTTGTAGAAGTGTTGCACGGTCAGCTGTTCTAGTGAGAGCCAGGCGAAAATGCCTTCCACAGAGGAATCCTTCCAGTGAAGGAAATGTATCATTTCGTATTATGCAATTGTTGAAGTAATGTGTCGTCAGTCCTGCACTAAATTTGAGGAATAAAAAATAAGATAAAGTAAAATAAAATAAAATAAAATAAAATACCCATTCACTGAGCATGGAAAAGATCCAATGGTAACACAATATCTGATCATGCACTTAAATATATATAAAAATTGATTTACACAAATAGGCTGAATTATGGTTGTATAGACTATCTTCATTCCAACATGTATTAGTTTTGAGTAGTTAAATATGCAACTTTAATGTTCTTTTAATATAAACAAACAAAAGCAACATGAAACAAGCCATATGGTGGTGGTCATGCTTATGCACCAGGGTGGTTCCTACCACACTTCTGCTCTGGAAAACAACATAATGTCATTTCCTGCTGAAAGCCCCTTTACAATTCCAAATCAAATATGTTTCTTTTGTAAGGAAAACTCCACTTGATTATTTGGGGAATCACTTGAAGTGAATATTGTCCATACGAGTTTTAAATCAAGTTATCTTAGAATTTAATGCATTTAAAGTGCAAGACCTCTAAGTCAGTAATTAGGCACCTAGACAGAAATGATTTGATCTACCAAGCTGAGTTGAGATGACTGGAAGAATCAATTAGAAAATTTCTGTATGTATTCACATATTGTTCCACCAGGTCTTACGAGGTCTAAGTGAACAAGACAGTTATGCCTCCCTTCAAAAAGTGTCTTATCAACCTTAATCTTTTCAGTAATTACTTGCTCAGGTCCCTGGATCACTTAGGCCTTGCAGCACCAAGTAGACAGTGATATGTCTGTAAAGAAACATGCTTTTTGTCTGCAGTTGTGTACTTTAGGCTTCAGGGTCTCTCTGTCTCTCAAAAAAAAAAAAAACCAAACAACAACTAAAACAAACAAACAAACAAACAAACCACAAAAAAACCCCCAACAAACCAAACCAATTTTGAAGACTGTTGCCATCATAAAATTCTGGTCTCTGAAAATCAAACCACATCCATTTCTATGTTCTGTCAAGGAATAAAGTTCCTGACACTTGGAAAAATTTTTTAAAAATCTTACCTTGAAATTTCTGATTTCTAAATCCAGTTACAATATTTATATATTTAGCTTCTGCCCAAGCACTGTAATTTTTTATCAGTTCTTCAACAAGCTAAAATGTTGTCTATGGGTATCACATCCCTGGTCTAACCAAGTAATCCAAAACAGGATACTTGGCTCACGTGTAAGATTGTGATTTTAAGAGCAAGTTTTTCTCACCTCTTTTTACAAGTTTGTAGTTGACAGATTAGCTTAGTTAGTTGATTAGCTAATTCATTTAAGAACATTTCTCAGCTGCTATCCAATCTGACTTACAAAGGTGTACCTTGCATATACTTTCAACATTATGCACAAAGAAAGGCTTTAAATTATATTAAGATTTTTACAAGAATTTCTCACTGAATTTTTTTCTGCATGAAATTGAAAAATTACTCTTCCTGTTTATTTCTTTTTTTTTTTTCTACAGCAGACTAGACCCTGATTAAACTGCTACTTAGGAGTTTAGTTTGGATTATTGTCATATTAAATTTGAACTGATTAAAACTGCAAACTTTCTAAAGCAATTCTTCTGAAATGTATTCAAGACAGTGCCGGGTTAATGATTGGACTTGATTATCTTAGATATCTTTTCACACCATAGTGATTATAAAAAACTGAAGGAAAAAAATCTATTTCATACCTCTCATTCCACCTTTTCTGTCAGTAGTTTCCTACCACAAGCTCCGTCCTGCAAGCAAATATCTTCAGTAAGGTATTATTATGGCTGCTGAACTTCAAGAGTGCTCAGCATTTCTTAGTACTGGGTCTAATGATCAGATCTGCAACACCCTTGGCATAGAAATAGTCTCTTTGCAGTTGGTAGGAATTCAGGTATGACTAAAAATACACAATAATGGTCTCTTCTCTCTGAGGTTGTGAGGGCTTCCCTAAATCCTAAAATGCTAGATTTTAATCTATAATTACAGTTTAAATATACAGGTACACTATTGTCTCCATTCTAAAAGGTAGAGTTTGATGCTCTTAACTTCACTTTTCATGACTGAAAAATGACTATCTATTCAGACTTAAATATATTTTAAAATTTCTTCAGCAGCAGCATTGCCGTGCTGAAATAAGGAACAAAAAATTGTACAGTTTTCCTAGTCTTTTTGGCACCTTTGCTGAGAGGTTGTGTTTCTTTACTCTTTTGAATTTTTCCACTGCAGCATACATCAAGGCTGAGAGAATGCCACTTTACACTTTTTTAGGGTATACATCCACCTACAAAGCTATTCATGTAGGGAACTTTAATTCTATTTATTGCTACTTTCATGTATTAATTGAACTCAAGCAGACTTTCTCATTACTCAACATATAATGTCATCTGATGCTCAGAGTAATGTAATTTCCTGATTTTGTACCCTATAGTTAAGAAATAGATTAAATTTCGTTGTTCTTTCTGTGGAGATCTCTTGTGAAGGTAGAACATGCTCAGAAGAAACATACTGATTCAGACTGCAGATCATTCATAATCTTCTGTGATCTGCTTGAAACATTCATGTGTCCCTGAAAACTATCCTTACATGGCCATGAACTCACAATGTCAGCATAAAAATCAGTCAATCAATCATACACACTATCTCTATAGACTGTGTAAGTACCATATACTATCCAGTAAAGTAAAAATGTACTTGGGAAAGGAGAGGGTTTTAGTGGTATTAACAACAGTCCCTGCTCTCTGATGGAAAGTAGGAAGGTGCTTGATGGTGTCTGCTTTGTTTCCTAGACAAACTACAGAGTACCTTCTCAACCTCCCGCTACCCAGTCTAGAAGGACAACTGTTCATGGTTTTCCTCTCAATAGAGAAAACCAGAGACTGGAGACTCTGCACTGTGTTGAACCTCAGCTTAATTCCTGCTGTACAACACATTCATCCAAGTAAGAACAATGAACAGTCCTTCTTTTGTACCTACCTCGAAAAAAAAGATCAGAGGTTGGCCAAGCTGCTCATTGTTTTCCTGTGCCATGACTCAGATACTGCAGTTATCATGTGCACACATGAGGAGAAAATCTAACCTGCAGCACAATAAAGGATGAACCAGACTTCCCATAAGCCTTCTGCTTACTCTTGTGCTGCTTAAATTTTTTCTAATGTATTATGTAACCAATGAGTAACTGGTATATTTTGCTCTTCTCCTAATTCCTCTGTTCAAAGAAGAAAACAGCAGAAAAACTGGCATGAATAGTATTTATTTCACAATATGCCATGATATGCCATTATATAATATGTACTAATAAATATGCCATGATGATATGCTTGAACTGGAGTAAAGATACCTAATTTAGTATATTGTATATATGTCTAATAAAGGCATTTTTAATAGACACATAGTATTTTTATATAAATTTTGTTTGTAGTAGTATCCACAGCTACTTTTCATTTCTAAGATAATTACAAGGCAATACTTCAAAATTTTTCGGTAAACCCAAGTTAAAACATATGGAGTTAACAGCTGAGTTTATATGACAAAGCGTGATCCATCAGCACAGAAACCAGTAGGTGGGACTGGGATTTTTTGTAGTCACTACTTTATCTGCCAGTTGATTGTAAGTTTTGTAGTCTTAGTCAATAAATTCACCGAACTGAGTCAGAATGGTCTTATGACATTTATTCATAGTAGTATGAACTTGCATATGAATATATTCACGCAGAAGAACATCACCAATGTGCTAGCTGAGGCACTGTGGAGGCCTGGTTCACAGCATACTATAACTATAACAAACCTTCCCCTAATTAGAAAGTTAATAACTTCATCACTTTTCCTAATTAAGATAAATCTTTTACATCTCCTAATTTTTTTCACAGGTCAGCTTTACCATTTGGGTTTCAGTAACAAGGTAAGAGAAAAAAAAAAACCCAAACAGTAGTATGGAAGCCAAACCAGGGGATTTTTATTCTTAGTCTTTCCGTTCTGTAGTTTGGGAAACTGCAAATTAGAAAGCTGGCTCTGATGAGGAATAAAATATATATG